TGTCATCGTCGTCGTCGTCGTCGTCGTCGTCGTTGTTGTTGTTGTTGTTGTTGTTGTTGTTGTTGTTTTATTATTATTTACCAGGTATGACTAGAGACAGGCACAAATCTGGATTGTTGGATCAAGCTGGATCATCGTATTGGTACCATAGGTATTGCACTGTCCTGTCCCCCACCCCTGCAGCTGGATTCCCCCTCTCCCCACCTGGTGTGCGTTCCACTCCTCCTCCTCCTTGGTTGTTTCACCACTTGCAGTAGGAGCAAAGACTTCTTTTCTCTGCCTCTTCCAGCAGCTACTTGCTCAGAAGAACAAGAGGAGCAGGGATTGGGGCAATGCTGTCTTTGAGTGGGCAGCTGCTGGAGGAGGCCAAGAAGGGAAGTCACTAGTGACTAGTGAAGAGGACGTAGAGCAGAGCATGCGTGCGTGAGTGCCAGCTGGTGATTAGGAATCCAGCGAGGGGGTGGGGGATGGGACTGGACAGGACCTATGGTGCTGGTATGATTATCCAGCACCATCCAATGATCTGGATTCATGCCCATCTCTAGTTATGACATTTCGTTTAAGAAAGCATCATATCGGGAAAACAAGGTTTTCAGTCACTTCCAGATGAAACCACAGATGTTACCAACAAACAGCTAAGAAAAACAGCAAAGCTGTTTTTAAGACACAGATGATATATCAAGAAAATGCAACTTTAAATGCAGATGAAACGATATAAACAAATAACCAACAATAAATGTTATCATTCAGAACCGAAGGTTTCCTGTGAACGACTGCACACAGCTGAAATGGTAATTCTCCTTCCATTTCAGGCATCTTGAAAAAAATTACTAAAAATTCTAGATTCTACAAAATGAGACTACAGTATAATGTTGCTGTAAAATGAAACTTATACAAATAAAATATAAGATTTCAAATTTTTATAGGATCTTAAAACAGCCAAACTAGTACCTTCAAATGAATTATCTCCACAATGTGGACTGCTTACACCTGGGAACTGTACCATCAAAATTTTATTTTCTATCATTTTCTATTCTTTTTTGCTTTATTAAAGATAATTAGATGGATGCATCAGCAGAAAGACACTTCTCAGCATAAGGGGATGGAACAAATTTTAACAACTACAGTCACTTATCACAGTTATGAAAAACACAGCGCACAAAAAGTTTTAGTGAAGGAAAGACAATTGGCTTTACCACAACTCATCCTTGAACTTTGCTTGAATTCAAGACATCCATTTATCTTCCTGTGATTGCTTTCCCGCCCCCTCCTCCATCTGTCTCCTCATTCCACCCTGTTCCTCTCACAATTTTTTCATTCAAAAATAAATCAGCAGAAGTTCAATTAACTGCTGAGCCCTTTGCTTTCTGAAAATATACTTTTCTAAAATGCAACAACAAAACCGCAGGCTTACCCTCACACTCTTCTCCTGCCTTTCCTGCTAATTATTGTTTAATTTTGTTTGCAAAAAAGGTAAGCAACCAGCACAGCACGTATTGGCCGTATGTTTCAGCAACTTCAGACCTCAAAGCCTGCATCTTTTACTGCATTGATGAGAAGCTAATTCTTTAACAATTTTGAGAAAACCTCAACTTTTCAAATCTAACATAAATGTATTTACTTAATTGAAATTCTATCACAAATATGTGCTTTGGGTCATTTATATTATTTAATCAATTAATTGTAAATAAACTACTTACAAACCATAAAGGATCAAAGGTAAAACATTCCATTATACTTTCAAAACAATGGCCCACAGACTGGAAACACTCAATATGCATTCAAATCCCTTAGAAAGGAGGTGCCAAGGAGTGCAGTAACTATAATATCATCACTTCTATTTCCCATATAAGCAAGCTGATGCTCAAGGTGTTGTAACAAATACTTTTATCTTATATGGAGTGAGAAATGGCCAGTGTTCAAGCTGGATTCTGAAAAGGAAGAGGCACTCAAGATCATATTGCAAATATCTGCTGACTACTGAAGAGCACCAAAGAATTTCAGAAGAAGATCACTTTATGTTTTATGGACCACAGAAAAGCCTTTGAAAAAAACTGTTGGCTGTTCTGAAAAAAAATAGGTGTACCATATCTCTTGATTGCCCTGATGTACTTGTACTGTACACAAGAAGCTACTGTCAGGACAGAATATGGAGACATAGAATGGTTTCCTATAGGCAAAACTGTCAGACAAAGGTGCATTTTATCCCCTTTTATGTTCAAAATGTACACAAAACGCATCATATGGAAAGGAAGACTAGATTCAGATGAAGGAGGAGTAAAAACTGGTGGAAGAAACTTTACTTTTCTTAGTTTTGCTGTTTATCCCGTCTTGATTATAGTATTATTGTAGATTTTAATTGTTGTTTTTAAGTTGTTTATGCACAATATATTGTGAGCCGCCCTGAGTAGACTCCTGTCTAGAAGGGCGGGATAAAAATCCAATAATAAATAAAATAAAATAAAAAGAAACATCAATAATGTAAAATATTTATTATGTATTTATTTAAAATATTGAAGATATGTAGTTGACACTATCTTACTGGCAGAAAATAGCAATGACTTGAAACAACTGTTACAAAAATGAAAGAAGTGTTAAAGTGGGATTGTAGTTGGATGACAAAGAAAAATCATGACTAAAGAAGAACTATACAACTTTAGCATTGACAATGAAGAAACTGAAATAGAGATTTTCATTATATATCTTCATTTAATCAGCAATCCAAAAGGAGACTGCAGCCAAAAAATCGGAAGAAAACTGAGACTAGGAAGGGCAGCAATGAAGGAATTAGAAAAGTTTATCAAGTGTAAGGATGTGTCATTGAAGACCAAGATCATCCACACTTTACGATCACTATGCATGGGCGTGAAAACTGGACCGTTAAGAAAGCAAACAGGAAAAAAACAATGACTCATTTGAAATGTGGTGCTGGATGAGAGCTTTGTGGATACCTTGGATTGCCAGAAAGATGAACCAGTGGGCTATAGCTCAAATCTATGAACTATCTCTAGAGGCAAAAATGTTGGAGGTTGTCCTACTTTGGGCACATCATGAAAAGGCAGGATTCTCTGGAAATGACAATAATGCTGGGAAATGTGGAAGACAGCAGGAAAAGCAAAAGACCAAATACAAGAAGGACTGACTCACTAAAGGAAGCCACCGGCTTAACTTTACAAGAGCTGAGTCGGATGATTGGAAAGGAAGCCACAGGCTTAACTTTACAAGAGCTGAGTTGGATGATTGAGGACAGAACATTTTGGAGATCAATCATTCACAGGGTCACCATATTTTGGAGGCTTATGTTCCTGAACACAAGCAATGCACAAGTACACATCCACAACCTATGCACACTGACTGGATTCCTGTGGGGAAAAAACTGTGCTCATAAAGGTAACAGTGCGGTGTTTCCCTCGCCCCTGCCATCCCATCACCGATGAAACCAAACTAACGTATGGTTAGGCAGGCCAAGAGAAACCAGGTGAGCAGGAACACTACCGTAACTGCCTTTTAATTCTGCACTCCCTTCACAGGATCTGGACACAGCATCCAACTACCAAACATACACACACAATATCTAGCAAGTATTCTTCTTAGACACTAACACATCTAAACCAACTGGTGATGGATTATATCCAATACACACACAATATCTAGCAAGTATTCTTTTTAGACACTAACACAGTATCTAAACCAACTGGTGATGGATTTTATCCAATTGGTTATGGATTGGATTATATCCAATCCATAACCAATGCCCTGGATCCATTCCAGTCGGGCTTCAGGTCATGCCACTGCACAGAAATGGCACTGGTCGCCCTGTTTAATGACCTACTGAGGGAGGTTGACAGGGGCAAAATGTCTCTGCTGGTCCCCCTCAATATCTCAGCTGCCTTTGATACTGTTGACCATGGTATTCTCCTGGGGAAGCTCTCTGAGTTGGGAATCAATGGCCTGGCTCTTGCCTGGCTCCATCCTTTCTTGGAGGACCATCCCTAGAGAGTGCAGATTGGAGAGAGTTTCTCGGACCCATGGAGCTGCAATTGTGGCGTTCCACGGGGCTCGATTATCTCTATGCTATTTAACATCTATATGAGGCCACTGGGAGGGGTCATCAGGGGAGGTGGGGCTTCGTGTCATAAGTACGCGGATGATACTCAGCTCTACATCTCCTTTTTTCCAACAACAGTGGATGCTGTTTTGACCCTTGAGCGCTGCCTGGGGGCTGTTCAGCAATGGATGCAGGTGAATGGACTAAGGCTGAATCCGGGCAAGATGGAGGTCCTTTGGGTGGGTGTCCCAGACATCAGTGGTCTGGGAAACTCCCTCTCCTTTGGGGGGGGGGAGCTCTTACCACCAAGAATGAGGTTCCCAGTTTGGGTGTATAGTTCACCATGGAGAACCAGGTGTCATCAGTGGTCCATTCTGCACATTTCCACCTTTGGTGGATTGCCCAGCTGCGTCCCTATCTTAATGTGGGGGGTGCTCACCAATTTGGTCCATGCGCTTGTAGTCTCAAGATTAGACCACTGTAATGCGCTCTACATGAGGCTGCCTTTGAGAGTGATGCAGAAACTTCAGATGGTACAGAATGCGGCAGCCAGACTTCTTACAGGGGTGAAAAGTTACCAATGTATTTCCCCCACGCTGGCCGCCTTGCATTGGCTGCCCATTCGTTTCTGCGTTGCTTTCAAAGTTCTTAAGATTACATATAAAACCCTAAACAGTTTAGGACCTCGATACCTGGCACAGCGTCTTCTCCCACCCAGTTCTGCCAGTGTCACTCATTCCAGCCAGGCTGGGCAGCTGAGGGGCCTAACACCGAGGGAGGTCCGGAAGGAAAGAACGAGGAACAGGGCCTTCTCGGCAGTGGCCCCTTACCTTTGGAACAACTTGCCAGTGGAAATCTACCTGGCTCCCTCTCTGGGTGTTTTCAGGAATAAACTTACAACCTGGCTATTTGGGAACGCTTTCCCTCCTACCATATCTTAATTTCTTATACTTTTGCCACCTTGGATCTATAATATATGTTTCTTTGGTTTTATAGTTTTAAATTTGTAAACTGCCCAGAGTAGACCTTTGGTCTAGATGGGCGGGATAGAAATCCAATAACTAACTAAATAAATAAATATATTGCTTTAAGTGCCACCAGGCCCTGTTACACAATTTCTTCTAAATTAAAAGATACACTGTACGTATATACAATATTAGCTACATGACTGCTGGACAGCTTACAGTGATGAAAAACAGGTTAGTTATGTGTTGCCTGTGGACTTCAGAGAAAGGAATACCTCATCCACAAATGTTGGGGGACAATCTTCCTCTAGTCATGAGCTACCTATGTATTTGGGACTGCTTAACTTTTTCTCCGTGACCCATTTGCCCCAGGAATATCTCTGTGATGTTCTAAACACACTGAATGCAGGTCCCCACTAGTGCAGGAAATCCATAGCTTGCACACCCTTGATAGATGGCCATCCAGTTCTACTGTTTCCATTGCAAACACAAGCCTTGGACCTGGAAGTGGAGCAGGGATGAATTATTTCCAAGGAAAAATATCCAGCAGATAAAAGCTTAACCATTTCCTGCTATTTGAGGACATTTTATATGAGAGAAGCAGGCATCAAGCTAACCATACAAGCCATTGCTATATATCTGCTCTAAAATAATTATATTTTACTTATTTTGAACACAATTTATCATAGGGGATGAAACAAAAAGAATAAATAAATTTGTGTCATTTAGTGCACAATTACATCTTCCTTTAAGTGTAATGTCCCCTCGCTATCCTTACCATCTATCTGTTAATTCTCTGTTCACCTCTATTTCTTGGGATTTTCTGGATTCAACTGAAAGGTTTTATAGAGACTAGAAATTTAATACTCCACTTAATTTCCTGACTAGGCCAAGTTTTCATTAGGCTGCACTTCACCCGGAAATTTCTAGAAGCAGAGCTACACCATTTTCACTATTATGCTCATAGCATCAGTATTAGAATATATTAAGGGATAACAGCCCATTTGAGAACAATCTGCTAGATTCCTTTCTGGTAGTCTAAAATTTTTATCTTTTAAAGTTTAAACATGAGAAATTAGAAACTGTTATTTCCACAGCTAAAAACTTTGGTGCTCTGAGCAAGACTACTTCTACCGTTTGTTCAGAAGTTACAATATTTCCCTGCGATAAGCAGAATGTCATTCTCTTCAAGTGAGAAGAGGGCAGAAGAAAAGGGAAATGAAAGACAAAGCACTGTTACCCTCCGCACATCTTTGCCAAATGTTTCACTGTAACTGGTTCCAAGGATCTCAAACTGGACGTAAGGGTTGGCTCCATCTTCTCTGAATTCCATGGCTCCTGTGAGTCCAGTGATATGACCCTAAGGAAAGAGTTTCAACAATTTTAAGAATAGAAAACAATCTAGTTGTCCAAAAACCCCTTTTATAAATATCTCAAAGTGATTTCCAAATGTGTGCAATTAAAAAGGAGAGTAAACTCATCTATTAAAAGCACCACAATAAACTACAAACAAAATAGAACTATCTTCAAGGGAAAATAGAAAAACATTGGCAAAGACAATGGTCACATCGAGCTGCTAAGGACGCTTTAACCTGTACAAGTATTGCAAATAGAGCAAAAGTAGAAAATACTTGTTTTAGATTTAAATTGAAATTTTAAAAAGGCCTTGTGAAGACACAATGGCCAAAATCCTATTGGAATAAGTTACACTGCAGTTCCCCAACAATGTCATTAGAGGCAACCGTATAGTTATTGTTTTGGGAAACAACAATATTCCCGCCCCCTCCCAGGCTCTAGGGGTCCCCAAGGGATCTTCTTCATCCTGGAGCAGGCTTTGGGTGTCATAAAAGGGGGGAATGACTTAACACGGGTAAACCATCACCGCTGGTCCCAGTCCTGTTGCTGGGACTAGCAGTGGCAATTTTCTGCAAGGAAGCGTGCTTGCCCAACATCTACATTACATCAGCAAACTTGGTTTCCATTTGTTCAGCATTACCTTCTTAATACTTTCCAGCATAGATCGGCCTCCATTCCAAGGCTTGGTTGATTTTCTCATGCAATTCAAGCTTGCCATACTGTGCCACTTCCTGTCCTCCAACTTTCTGTGGAAGGCATTGGCCAGCATGAGCACACTGTCATAGAGATAGAGGCTGGAGACCTGCAAATGGGGACAAAAGTAGAATAATTTATACAAAAAGGAAAACTGTTGAAGGAGCACAAAATTCATGTAAGTGTATATCAGCGGATCAAAGAGATATCGATGGGTATTAAGAGATGCATATTAAAAGTCATTATTTCAAGTCAATAAATACAAATGTCTTCTTTTGATGAAGTTTCACACAAGACACCAGCTGAAATCCTGTTGCACAGCTCCATCTACACAAAGTGAACAATGTCATTAGCTGTGGCATATTGCCAGTGATTAATGGCTTCCTTTTGCAATTTCAGGATGTGCATGGTTCACATACAATATGACAAAGTCATCTGGACCTCAGCATTGCAAAAGGAAGCTTTCAATCAGTAGCAATCTGTTGTTGTTGATGATATCATATCATTCCTCTTGCCCATGTAGACTCTGTCCAACAGGGTTGCAGCAACTAAAATGCATGAAGAACTATCAGTATGGCAGAACACAAGCACTAAAGGCAGAAGAACCACATTCAACTCTATCTCTCTATATATATCTCTCTCCAGCTGAAAATCTCTTAGACACAGAACTTGGAAGTTATCTTTTTTTAAAAAAACTACAAATCCTAGACTCCCCCAGCAAAAATGATCACTATAGAATTCAGGGTATTGAAGTAAAAAAAGTAACTCTCCTAGCTGTGATCTTCAGAAGCTTGCCTTAATTTTTTAAGCTAGCTAGAGAAGACAGTACAAAAAAAAAAAAAAAAAAAAAGGAACTGTCCTAGCTGTGATTTTCAGAAGGTTGCCTTAATTTTTGAAGCTAGCTAGAGAAGACAGTAGAGGACTAGGCAAAGGTAAAGGTTCCCCTTGACATTTAGTCCAGTCGTGCCCGACTCTAGGATGCAGTGGTCATCCCCGTCTCCAATCCGTAGAGCCAGCGTTTGTCTGAAGACAGTTTCCGTGGTCACATGGCCAGCCCGACTAGACATAGAGTGGTCACATGGCCAGCCCGACTAGACATAGAACGCCTTACCTTCCCACCAAGGTGGTACCTATTTATCCTACTTGCATTTTTATATGCTTTCAAACTGCTAGGTTGGCAGGAGCCGGGGCAAGCGACGGGAGATTACTCCATCATGTGGATTCGAGCACGGATTTGCTCTTGCGACTGCTGGTCTTTGACCTTGCAGCACAGAGGCTTCTGCAGTTTAACCCGCAGTGCCACCACGTCCCTAGTATAGGATTACATAGGCCATTTATGGCGGCTTCCTATGGTCATATACCTGAATGTAAGTACTTTAAAACATTATTGAAAAAACTGCAAAAAGAACAGGGAATACAATATAACAGTGTGGAACTATTCATTTCTACTCCCATGGTCCATTCACTATTCCTCAACAACAACAACAACAACAACAACAACAACAACAACAACAACAACAACAACAACAACAACAACAACAACAACAACAACAACAACAACAATTCTATGCTGTCAAGTCTAGTCTGACTTATGACAACCATTTTCAGGGTTTTTTAGAGAGAAAGTACTCAGAAGTGGTTTTCCACTGCCTTCTTCTGGAAGCATCCCAGAACTGTGCAGCTTGCTCAAGGCCACGCAGGATGGCTCTTCTCTCAGGAGTCACAATGCAAAACAAAACTCCCAGACTCTGGCTCTGCAGCCAGATATTTAAACCACTGAGCTATCCAGCCAGCTCTTCCAATACAGTTGCACACAATCTTTTCAAGAGAACTGATTAAGTATTTTAGCAGAGGAAGAATTGGAACGTACAACGGCCTGCCTGATCTTCATCAGGTCCTCTGACTACCTACTAACGGTAACATAACAGCCTGTTGAGTTTTGGCCACAAGCTCTATATAACGTGTGATACAGTGGAATTCATACTGAATCAGAAAATTCCTTTTAACTCAAAAGCCAGGTTTTTAATCCTGGTGCATGGCTGTTGGGGATACTTGCCATTCTTTCCCTTAGCCATCAAGCAGTAAGGTGGGTGTGTCTTCGCATTTTTTCCCCATCGTTTGGCCTGGATGCTGAAAATCTGGGATTAGAAAACACTTCTTCCCCATAACGATTGGGATTGTTATTTTTTTTAAAATTCAGGAGATCTACGCAGTCTGTACACAACAGTTTACCTCTAATAACACCCTTGCTTTTGTTTACTCTGAGGAACTGGGCTTTTTATTTTCAACCCCTCTCCGCTCCCCCTCCCTCAATACTTGCAAAGAAGTCAGAAAGAGATGGTTTATATTTGAGAATGTGGAATATGATAAAATGACTAAAGAATTTATTACTAATTTATTAACAGCAGTTAGATTAATAATAGTTAGGCAATGGAAATCAAAATCTGAATTTTGAATGGGAGAATGGTGTAATGAAATCTGGAATATAGCTATAAATGATAAGCTAACTTGTAAATTAAAGGTTAAGAAAGGAGAGATTTAAAAAGGATAATTTTTAAAATATATGGGGCAGATTTTTGGAATATGTGTTAACAAGAGGAAAAGGGAAAGCTCCAAATCAAGAATCAATGCAGTTCTGGAGAAGGGGACAATAAAAAAAGAAGAATATAGATGGAGGAAGAAGAGGGTTATTGCAAGAGGTCCCGTCTATGGTGGTGGAGAACACAGTTAATTTGTTTTTTGGTTCCTGTATTTTATGTTTATGTTAAAATAGAATAAACTCTTTAAAAAAAGAACATGGCCAAAGAGCCCAAAAAACCCACAACAACCATCAGTTAATAGTATCATTGGTGGTATTCTGTGTTCTCACTGTTCATATCTAAAGATCTGCCGGCTACTGGTGCACAATCAGCATTCATTAGATAGGCCTGGTTTAGAGATGGGAGATGAATATAAAAACAGATCAGTTTTTCTGATGAATATAGCCAAATCGGCATATATTTGTCAATCCATATTTGTAAAATTATAAAACAGGATGAATATGGCTTGACGAATATCTCCTGTTTTATTCGTGGATCTGTTCATATTTGTCTATATTCGTTAATCCTTTGGGGGGCCTTTCTGAGCTTGCTGGTGCCAATTCAAAGCTCTGACCAATCAGGTCAGAGATCCTGGATTGGCATGTCCAGCAACCAATAGCGCTGCTGAAAGCTGTATCTACAGAAACTTCATTTAAGCTTTTCCCGTTTCACCGTTCCCCACTTCTGTTCATGCTTTCTGGAGTGAGAACAGTTGCTGCTTGCTGGCTTGCTGGTGCTCTTGTGGTTTTGCTTTTGCGGCAGCAAAGCAAAGACTTATATTTTACTTTTTCATCATTATCATCATTCATCAATCATCATCAACTTTACTGGGAATTTGGGGAGGGATTTTAGGTAGCTTAGGCTACTTTATCGGAAGGGCTTAATTTCATTTCAAATTCAAATCAATCAAACCTTTTTTTCTGGAGGCTTTTGTCTCTCTCTCTCTCTCTCTCTCTCTGTGTGTGTGTGTGTCCTCCAGTGTGTGTGTAGCTTAGGCTACTTTGTCGGAAGGGCTTAATTTCATTTCAAATTCAAATCAATCAAACCTTTTTTTCTGGAGGCTTTTGTCTCTCTCTCTCTCTCTCTCTCTGTGTGTGTGTGTGTCCTCCAGTGTGTGTGGGGGAACTGTTGTTGTGTGACTGTGGAATCTCTTTTCCTTTATATTCAGTTTTCAAAAGTTCATTTTAGAGAGGCTTGTGTTTCTCAGGGAACTCAGGGAATTCGGCGGGTGGCTGGATCCATCATTCCTTTTTCTTCCAAAACCTCTCT